CCCGGGGGAGTGGTCAACTGCACCAATGTGCACAACTTCAAGGCGGCACTGGATGCGTGTTGGTCAGAAATTTTCCGTGAGGTTAGGTGGTAATGCATCGTCACCGCAAACAGGGTAAATTGCAGTCCTGAACTTTGGAATCGGGGCTTTAAATTGCATTTGAAACTGATATGTTTCAGTAAACTAAGTTCTCTCACCGACGAGACGAGAAGACATCTATTCTGTTTTCTCTTTTCCAGCCCGCTTGAGGGAACCTGGCTAAAAGAAACTCAGAAAACGCAGTGCTGGAGAACACCCGCTGACAACACAATAATCTGGACGCTCGATTGGCAAGGGCCATTATTCGTCATGTGAAGACTGGACTGGACCGAATTGAATTTGTTTAAACAAGCTTCTACATAACGGCGCTCTCGCTAAAAATGTACAACGGAATAGGTTTACCGACTCCTCGGGGAAGTGGCACCAATGGTTACGTTCAGAAAAACCTGGCCTTCATTGGAACTGTCAAGGAAAGGGTACCGTACAAAACTGACGATGATTTGAAGCGCGCGGATGCTTTGTTCTTCAAAGAACCGAATAAAGAAATATTGGAGCATGAAAGAAAAAGGAAAATCGAAGTCATCTGTTTTGAACGAGAATTACTTATGGAGGAACAAGGGTAACTTTATCATCTTAAAAATTTATTAGTTAGATACACTGAAGAGGAAATCAAAAATAAGGTTTCTGTTCTCCGTGCAGAGCTTCTCGAGAAACTTAAATCTGAAGAAGTCAAGAAGAAAACGCCGCTTGTGGAGCCAATAGAAACACAACAGACGGAGCATGGTCGCCTGGTGCCCAAAGGTACACACGAGTCTGCAGCTGTTGCTATCATTAAAAACACGGTATTCAAAGAAGCGCTTGGTATCGGTGCCGACTTCCAGGAGGGGAACTCTATGGAGCAGGCAAATCAGAGGCGCAAAGAAGAGCAGGAAAACAAAAAGCTCCTGGAACAACAGAAGCAACTGAGGTAAATTTCTTTGTAGTAAACTGAAAAGCCTATAGTATTGACTAAAAGTTCGTTTTATCCAACTCATGTAGATATCTGTGTTTCTCGGTTCAGTCGTCAAATGCAGTCAATCAGTAATGAGAAAAAGCAGAGTTGGCGTACACGGGACAGGTATTAAGGGGAAGGGATAAAGTACACGAAGCAGTTTCTTGTGGTTTTCGCTACTTAGAACGTGGCCTCGGCAGATACGTGGTGATCCCATGAGCGAAGTACAAAATGACCTCTTATGGAGAATATAGTTCCGTAACTCGCCTGGTTTGCAGTCTAGACTCAAAGCTCCATACTACTGATGTATTCCAGGCTATAATGTGTGAAATTACAATTCCACACGAAAGATCATTTAATTCTTTGCGTTCAGGCTCGGGAGATTTCCAAATGCGTGCTTAAAACTTTGGGGTGACACTTCCCGTTAGCCCAAAATGACATATTGTTCTTTTGGGAAGACTGAACTGACTGACTCAAGTTTTAACCACAGTTTAGTGGAGCGCAGCTCCAAAGCGGAGGTGCTACCGGAGCACTCGTACACCTTTGGGTGGTCCCTTGTGCAGGATCGGCCCTGTTTATTACAGCAGACAGGGAAGCCCCTTTCAAGTACTTGCTGTTCATTGATGGCTTCATGCATCCAAGAAGATGGATAAAACTTAGAAAAGACTACCTCATTGGTTGGGACTGCCAAGCTCGGGTGGGCGACAGCTGTCCAACGAAGTGCGAATTCTCCGTGAAGAAAAAGTACCAGGTACCAAACTCCCAAGAATATCTACCGGTGTATGTGGAGGGGGCGTTGATCAGTAAGCTGCTCCTCTCAATGTTTATTTGTTGGAGTAACCTTTCTAAGAGTGAGTGAGTAGTTTAAGAAAGCTAGGTGCTCAGGCAGCTGACCTGTCGAGATAGCTTTTTCTGGAATCTACTCATTAGCCTTTCAAGCATGATAAGACATGCGGCTTTGAGGGTCCATCCTGTGTAGCTTTTAGGATCATTGAGGGACGCGAGCCATCAAACCACGTCAAGGTTTCAAATCTGCTTAGGGTTTTATCGGTCACATTTTCACTCTTAGATATTGGAACACCGACATTCCTTTCGGAGTCCCACCATTTCTGTCTTCAATCTGAAAACGGTGTCCGACGCAGTCGACTGCTCTACATTCTGGCGCTGCCTCTAGCGGTTTCGCAATCTCTTTACATTAATAGCCTAGTCCGAGCTTGCTACACTTCCACCCGAGTTGGCCACGAAAGTGTTGTTCGTTAGTGTTGCCCTCTCTGCTTCTACTCAGTGGATTTGATTTCAATAACAGCCCTCGTACGAGATTAGTGGCATCCATCTGCTCAGAGGTGTCAAACTGATCTGGAGTACGCAGACGATATTGTACTGCTAAATGAAAGCCCGGGTCAGTTGCAAGCCTTTCTGGATGACTTGTGTGGCAGTATAGCCATGTTCGACATGCGTTTTCTCCTTCAAATGCGAAATGTCGCCACCGGACTGGGTTGGCCCAGTTCCCAACCTCTAACTGGAGAAGTAGATAAATTTACAAATTTACTTAGGCAGCTATATCTCACTTGGAATACGTAATATAGACGAAGTTTCGGCTCAATTGTCATTTGCCAACCTGAGACATCTGTTATATATATATATATATATATGTGTGTGTGTGTGTGTGTGTGTGTTAACCAACATCTGGTAGGAGGGCATGAAAACCCTACTTCAGATCAGTTCAGTTTTTACAACTATTAAGCATGCAATTTCGAGCACCGGTTTTGGTTGCTGTCTTTTGGCCGCCCATGAAAACTCTAACCAAGAGATTTAGTCGAACAAGTCGCGTTCGGCTCCCTGTATGAGAACCTCTAGATAATCGTAACCCGTGGTTAGGGATCGAATGATATGACCGATTGGCGCATTGCCGCTCGTGCATCTACTTATCCTTACAACCTTACTTTAACTTTCTGTCCGACGGTGCGCTAAACACTCCAGTTTTGCCTCTACTCTAAATTGACAGCCTGAAGGCACGAACCAAAACCACCTCACGAAATTGCATAGTTAATGGTTGTAAAAACTAAGTTACTCGGTCTAAGACTAGTCGCTCACCCCCCCCCTGAGGCTGGTCCGCATCACTCTTCAACATATGGCTCAGTCCGTTGTGACTGCTACTCCCATCCAGCGCACTCACACAAGGTGCATAGTGCAGCCCGTTTGTTTTCCGTTCTCATCTCATGGTCGAGTCATCGGAGATAATCTAGTTTCCAGAGACTAGCTCCCTAGACTATCCACTGACGCCAATCGCATAAACTCCCCGTTTGACTCGAGCGATTGTGCAGACTGGTTAACAAGCGCAACTAATTGACGAACACTTTCAAAACGAACGATCAAATTCTAGCTTCATTCTGTGAGGATGTGTGCAATNTTGCATCTTGTATCCCAGAGCAGATGTGATCAGACGGGGTTTTTCTTACCCACGGATAGCTTCTATATCACTCGGTCTGGTAGTTTCTAAAGCAAGAGAACTAATGTATGGTACAATCTAACTTTGCCATTGTTAAATACTGTGTACTGAGAATGTGTAAGGCACTTTCGGCACGTAATCACTCTAGCCACTAGATACTCTACCAAGTTTGTAGCAGCCTCTTTGCAAGGTAACATTAGCTTGTCTCAGATCAAGGTTCGCTGTTTACTTTTTAAGACTAGATGGGTGCGCCGCCTCTCGAATTCAAGTTCTTTATCTCCCAGAAGTCACTTAGGTGAGCACCAGCACGTGTAAATCCTTAGACCTGTCGGTTCTGATGCAGTGTGCTAAAATTGTACACCATATTAATTGCGACGAATGATATGTTATTGGACGGTAAGGTAGTATGTGTTTTCTATGGACTGCTGCACTTTTCGATCATCCTATCCAAATTGGATGAATATATAAATCTCACCCTTACGTTGAGACAGTAATCCACAAGACAATAAAGCGGCCCTTCGAGTTCAGAGTCATTCGGCTGTCGGTGTCCAATAATCCGGGCTACAAACTACGGGTATTACGTATGCTGAGCATCGCCTGTTTTCATTCTGTCGTACGTCTTTCAAAAGCGCCTCACTTCCAGGGTTATAAATGCGCTAGTGCCTCGATCAAGTGTCAGTTACAATTGACCTATTCACTTCAGTGAAAATCACTTCGTAAAGTATCGGACTTTTCCAACGGAAATTACAAATTCAGGCCATTAAGAGGCCTTTCGGGAATAGCTTTGTTCGGCCAATGATGCTCATAACAACACCCACCTATAACGTTTTTTGAGCAGGCAATGATAAAAGAAAGCGAGTCTTATGTCAGTAGAATAACGTTTAGGTCAAAAAGTTGGAAGCTAACCCCCAACATGTTTGCCGTTTCACTTCCAGTGTCAGAAGCTGTAGTATGTCTAATGGACTTATTAGCCTAAGCGTACCTTCGATTAGACGGTAATCAGCGGACACGATTCTACACTTAAGTATATATCAACTGGAAATGGTCAGGTTGCGGGAGGTCGCGCAATAATAACCGTCGAGTAGGAAAGTGCTCACAGAAGACAGCAAACGACAGTGGTTTTTCAGCTGGAGAACAAATGCGAAGGTATACCTCCGGTTCAATGTTATCTCATTAAAGTAAGATAAAAATAAGCCTAGAGTGCTCCCTGTATGTAAAAATCTTTTATGGTTTATGGCAGATGGAAACAAGGGATTGAAAATAAGATCGCTCATCTAGGCGGTTCGGTTATATACACGTAAATCTTCTGCCGTTTTTTTCACTGTTCACACTAGGTTACTACATATCTAATACCGGGTTTATTTTCTGTAAGTGGCATTGAAAGCCCCGGGTATCTTAATTGAAGAGCATGATGCATGATGGACGGTTTTCGGTTTTAAGCTCGCTATTTCTTCCAGAGACAGTCGTCAATCATCTGGCATTTTCAAGTACTTTGCTGTTTAATCTCGCGGTTCCTCATATTGCACAACAATAGCTGCAATCAACAAAATAATCGCTTGGTTCCCAAAATTGTTCCACTTCCTGAGGCTTCTCTAACTAATCACAACCTCCAGCAACCTGAATAAGGTTATCCCCCTAGTATCTATTTTGATTAGGGTCACATACTCATTACTCAAGATTGATAGTTGAGATCGCTCCATGAATTGTCTCATACCGAAAAGCTTTAAATTTTGTCCTCACAGCATGTTTGGAGATACGTGAAGGCCAGTACTGAAACATCAATCGATCAGTGTGTTTTGACTTTTGTTACGGTAAGTGATGAATTTTTTAGAGGTTCAAGTTTTGGCTATGACAATTTTATTGGTAAACAAAAGTGGTCCGAATCGGATTCGAATAAGATTCTCATCTGTATACACTACCTATCTTCGGGTCTTCAATAAAGAGCCTGTCGAATGAAATCATAGGTCAGCGCTTCGTGATGAGTGTACTGACCCTTGTCTCAAAAATGCAAACCAGCTGGATCCAATATCCTCCAAGTATTTTTTTAGTCCGTCACTTGTTTAAAATTTGTCTTGTGCATGTCTTTGGTGACCGACTATCCTGTTACATGCTGAAAGCAGGGATGGTGGTTGCAGGGACTGATGTATTGAGTCATGAATTTCATCGGTACACTGATCCATGAGATTCGGAGTTAAATTGAGAACCGGCTTTTCTGGCTCCCAACTCAGCGGTACGCCCATCATATGATGTTGCCAATTGTTCAAGCTCCTTGTTGTGAGAGCTCATAACATCTAGTTAAATTCTCCAGGATGCACCATGTGTTGTATTAGGTAGACACGATAACGGGCCTTCAATCTTATACGAAATAGTGTTTGCGTCCGATTTATTCTGTTTCGTCTTCATGCTAACCGTACAACAACAAGCTGACGAAGGGTATTTATCTGCATCGTTTGTCTTAAATGCGCTAAACAGACTGAATGGGAAATAACTTTTACCTAGCATTTTCATGTTACGTTTGAATTGTTATTCCCTATTTTTTTCGTTTACAGCATAATGAACAGTTCCAGTGAGGAATCTGAGGACGAAAAGGAACGCCATAAACACCGGAAAGAAAAAAAGAAGAGAAAGAAACGAACCCCTTCTCCCCCAGCCAGCTCAGACTCTGAGGACTCTGCCGACAGTGA